CTATACGCCACTGTTCTTTGCGGTAATTCCTAAAATGATCTGAGAACAGTCTTTCTGACCCTATATTAATCAAATATGGGGCAATATTAACGCGTTTTTTATGTTTGTCTTGAACATGTATGAATGAAAATAAATAATAATTAAAATAGTTAAAGAACGAAATTTGTGAGGATTTTTAGATAGAGCTCGTAATCTCTTCCATTAAAGAGTCACATTGTGAAGAGAATTGTTAACGTTTGTACTTCGGGTATTATAATTTTGAAGGAATTTTAGCCTCTCTAGAGCCTTTCCGATCCATGATAAATTTATTTCCACAATGAAAACAACTAGCAGGACTGTATGTAGCACACATACATCTAAAACTGGAAACGAAACCATCTATAGTCTCTTGTAATATATTTCACTTGTTGAATTCTCAAGCATATTTTCTGTCGTATTCATATAATGATACTCGAAGTAACGCTTTACGATAATATTTATGTTACGACAATTTTTAAACCAATCCTAAAACATATGTACAAAACAACTATGCTGTTAACAATAGATAATGAGAACATTTACACAACTTCATCTTTCGCTTACAGCAATCATCAATCTACTAATGGAATTATTTGACTAGTTAACATATCTAAAAATCTATAGCTTTGAACTAATAAGCACTGTATGAACACACTATACTTGGTCAAGATAATAAACTCCTGCCAAGTATATCTTTCAAACTTGTACAGTGCAGATCCTCAAAGATGAATAGGTTTCTTGCAAAATGTATCAGAAATGCTGGTTTCAAATACTTGTTCTTCAATCTGCTTTTTAACTTGTATTATTTTGTCAGTAGGTTAACCACAGCAGTGTTTAAAAAAACTTCAGATAAAAGATACTAGACACTATATTTGCATACGACTGCTTGCTCTTATTTTTTCGACAAAAAGATTAATTAAATTAACAAGAAAAGAATTACAAGATTTAATAAATAAATATCGATTAAACACATTCAGAGTTGAAATGGATATAAAGCGCATTTATCTCAAACTCAAAATTCTGATATTTTATTGTTGAATGAAGCGGTATTCTAATATTCTTTAGTTTAAGTACTATTATTATATATATGAATATAAAGATCAAGTTCTTTATTAACATTCGCCGCTTATATTAGGAGTGCACAATATAAACATTTTTCTGTCTTTGTGTACAACTGGTATGAGTTTTCCGAAAATGCGAAAAATGCGGTTTTGTTGTCGTTATACTTTTCTCAGAATTGACCGTTTCTCGTCAGAATTTTTCCCAATCGACGACTACAGATAACATCAAAATTAATATGAAAAGCGACCTTAAAAAAACTTTTTCTCTCAAATAAAACAATATATCTCGAAAAGCAAGATGTCTAAATATGTACATTGTGTAATACTACCAAAAGTAAGAGAATTAATTCAAACTTAGAACTTAGTCGAAAACTGAAATGATAATTATTAATATGAATTTTGAATAGATTGCAAAGGTATTAGAATGATATACCAGCATAAAATTAAAATTGAAGCTACAAGAAAATACTGAGATAATAAAACAATAAATAATCAATATATAAAAGAAAAAAACTTCTCAAGCTCATCTAACTGTACAAGACACTTATATCATTATTGCTCACGATCCATGACCGATTCAAAATATGTCATCATCGTAACAATATTTCTCGGTATATTGCACACGAGCGACCATATACTTCTGATTAGTAAAATTATTGATGAAATTATGATGTTATGCGAATTTTCATTTAGGTCGGCTGTTACATGATCATGAGAGTACGTCAAAAGTTGAAAAAACAAATCAAGGAAGATTCCTTCCTATCATAATCGATATGGCAATTCTATTTGACCACAAAAAAACATGACCTGACTTGTTCTGTGTTGTTAGACCACAAGGGAAAATGATTTCAAAACTCCCAAAGAAAATCTGTATCATTTGGAAATTTGTGGACGAAGTTCACTGATGGCTCGAACTTATCATTTCTATAGAAGAGAACTAAGTTTTTGCTGCATAGCAACCAAAGAGTCGATAAGATGCACCACCAGTAGTACATGGTGTTATCTTAATGATTTTTTCATGTGTTCAAGCCATTAAGTTTTAGCTACATAATCTTGATCGCTTTTCGATCAAAAGTTTTTGAAACAGGTAGTTTATTTTTTATTATAAATAATTTTCATTGTTATTTCAATAAAAAAAATATAAAAAGATTGAAAAGAAATCTACAAGGTCATCACTCTACAGTCTAATATATACAGAAAAGTATGAGAATGAATCGTGTTGAAAACTGGAATAGTTGAGTTAGTATTCTAGACTATGAGTATCCATGAATAACAAGATTTGAACATATGCATAACAAAACAATACAAAATGTATTGAAGTAGAGCATATTTCGAAATTTTGGTTCTAAATCTCCTTGTCTATACCAGAATGTCTAAAGTAATGACAGAAAAAATGTCGGATTCTCAAAAAAAATAGTTATAAACAATACTTACAAGGCAAAGATGTGAACCAAGAAGAAACAATAAACAAACGGATAAAAACACATTAACCCCATGCGGTTTTGAACCACGAGGAAATATAAAGCTACTGATCAGTGTCGTCTTGAAATAAAATAGATCATATTTTTTCTAAGTGAATAACGGATCAAATGTGAAGAAGAAAAATATTACTTACGAGTACAAAAACGGTTGTTACAATTGCTGTGATTATATAAGAGATACGATCCTAAAAAAATACTCGAGTGAAAGCATTACTAAACAAAAGAATAATTTATAATTATTACTCTTGATCGTGTTTCACCAAATAATGGACGATCGACGATATCAACATAGGGTGATCTCGAGGACATATTGTTTATTTGTGCTGGTTCAATTAAGTGACATTTCTCCTAATAATGAAAAAATCTCCTGGTATTAAGGATATTTATATCTAGAACGAATAAAACGATGAGTACAGAGTTTTATGGTCAAATCATAATCAATATATTAGGATTTTTAGAGGTTTTCTGGAAATCTGTCGTAAGAGAACAAATTAGTTTATAGTTGTTCTGGTGTTCTGAGTATTCAAACTATTCGTCTGATAATATTCTGAAGGTTCTGAGTGGGTGAGTTTGGTTTTGAGCGAGATAAAATGAAATGTTTTCTGAAGACATTTCAAAAATCTTGATTTCATCATGTTTTACCCGGTTTTTTCTTCGAGAACATGATACAATCAAGTTTGTTAGTCAACCTTGAACGTTTTAGAAGTTACACTTTCCAAATTAGGTACCCAGTAATTTTGAGTCGCGATTTGCTCCCTCAGTTATCTATATCTTTCTTACTCTCTCTCGTCACACTGTTGAATTATGCTAATGTGATTCTTCGGTAGCTGTATTCTGTTACGAGGACAAACTTGCATGTCAGGTGACCTAAGTTCCCTCCTCACGCTACTACATTTTTTATTCTGATATTTCTGTACACTCATTATGTCAAACTCCATCTACATAAGTGGGGTTCTTGAATTCGCAGAACTAATTATCCGAGAAGATCCGTTTTGATTTTTGGAACTGACAGAAGAGCAGTAACTCAACTTTGTGACTATAAGCAAAAGTACGAAGAATTTATCTTCCGCAACTTCCTCTCGCTCTCTGATACTGCTATGTGCTTATCTTGTAAATTAGTAGTTTTTTTTCGAATAATTCTACTTGAAAACATCAAGAGAAGCAGATATTAATTGCAAGAAAAGTAGAATGGCTATCTTACTACACTAAGAGCACAACTGACTGAACTGAGGCTGTATGTAAACACACAACAATTGTCCTTGTCTTTTCGTGTTTTGTTTAAAGTGATAAATAAAGACGAAACTTTCATATATAAAACATGCGAGATGTGAGCAATATCTTCGATCTTGAAAATCATCATTCTCTGTGCACAATGCATTGTTAGTGTATGAAGTAAAGGTGAAGTCGAGTGACCCACGAAATCGTAGACGAATGTTACTTTGTTTATTTTCGCTCGAAAATTATTTATCAAAATGAGTGAGTCATCAGAACTGTAAAACGAGAGTACAGTGTGCCAATCAAATTTTACATGATAGGCTTTAGTATAAAAACGAATACATATATATGCATTAGCGCTTGTCCGTTACATTTTATAGCGACATCATCAAGAAATGTGACTTTGAAGATAAATACATGAGTTAATATGAAAACAAAAACGTCCTTAGTAGTAAAGTTTTATTTTCCGTTATTGAAACGATCTTACTTTTTCGCTTTTCCTAATCTAGATGTTGAGCTAGACCGTTTCAACCTTCCTTCACTTTCATTACTAAGTTATTTCAAGGAATTTTTAATTCAAGTCTGTATATCATCTAATATGAGATTCATTCGATAGAAATGATCTTGAAATTTTTGATCATATGATAGAATATTTTTGATCATACCTCATTTTGATCTTATTGAATCGAAATAAATCGATAATATAAAGACTTGGCGCAAAATCAATGAGATGATTTATTTTCCCATGATTCATTGAAAAATCGAACTGCCGAAAGACAAATAAGAAAAAATGAATGTAGATATCGGTAAATGTGTTCCTGACAATGACAAAAAAGCCAATAATGCACTCATGTTTTTCACATATTACATGAATATAGTAAATCGCATTGAAATAGCAAACGTTATTAAAAATGATGTAAGCAAGTTTTCTTCAACAGAATATCCCAATTATTGCTACTAATATTTATTTGAATAACTTTCAACAGTATATGCTGCTGTCTATAAACATGCATTGTATACGTAGAGACCAAATGCGTACTTTTGCACATTAAATTTCATTATGATTTTTTCTATTTAGTATGGTCTAGTATAAGAGATAAATGATAGAACAGACATATCTCTATTGTTAATAGAACATTTTGATCAATCATCTAATCTTTCATTCAGTAGTCTGAACATGAATAATAAATATAATATGAAAACCTTGATTGGGACTGTTGAACAGATGAATCTTCAACGGATCCCATCCAAAGTTTCGCTTGCTGATTTGTCATTGAAAGACCCAAAAGAGTTGCAAGTTAAAGAAGCACTAGTCAAAGACAAGTTAAAAGAAGTTCACAAAGATGATGTGTTTGATGAACAATATTCTCAAACGGTACAACAACGAGCCGATATGACTAGTTTACAACGAACGATGTCCAGTGATGAACGACTTTCTACTCAACGATCAACTGGACACTTCACAGACACTGAATACTATTGTACAGAAACAATCAATGTTAGTTTACCAGAGAGAGTTATGCGACAATTGAATAATTATAAATTATTACAAAGATGTTTAACAGAATATAAGAGAGAAAATAGATATAAATCAAAAATACAAATTCCATTAACTTCTGCTCAACATAAGCAGATTGATAATAATTTGATTGAAACACAACATTTGTGTACACCAGAACCAGATATTTGTGAAAAAGAGAGACAAAGCTGTCAATGGTCAAAACAAAGAACTTTGACGAGTTATTTGAGACAAATTTATCTGCAATGTAATGGAAAACCAGCACAAGTAAATGATTATAACAGGAAGTATTTCAGTCGATAAAGAAATAGAAAAGCATACTACTGTAGATAATTCATTTTGTTTAGTATGAGTAATTCTGTGAGAATAGAGAAGTATGCTGACATTTTAGAATATATTTTGTTTTGTCGCGGATGTTGAATGAACTTCAAAAACTTTAAATGTCTAGAAGAGTCTTTTTGAGTGAATATCTTTAACTTCATATTTTCGACGGTCCAAATGCAGAGTTGCTGAGTTCAAATAAGAGGATATATATATGATATAAAAGCGATAAATATTTTCGTTTTATAATCAAAATAATAAACGTAAACCGTACAAACTTCGATTTGTTGATTAAATTTCTCTTTAGAAAAGTAAATTTGTGCATGAAATTGAATTGATTATTCAACATCTCATTGATGATGAAATCGAAAATAGATTTGAACATGAAGCAAAATTAAATATTAGAAAAAATCAACGAAAACATTTAAATCGTGAAATAAAAATTCATGCATATCAAAATACATTTTTCGAATATTATTATGTCAATTATAGTCCATATGTAGATGAAACAATAATTGGAAAAATTGTACGAGGAGTTCAAGCAGTAGCCGTCGCACTTGCAAGTAAAGTAAGCAAATTTAGAGGAAAAAATTGAATAAAATGAAAATTTTCAAAAAGTTTTCTTGGTTATAGCATCATGCAGAAGATGTGTTGAATAATTTTGTTATACATCGAGAACAACAACAATCATCTTCAACTGATGATTCTTCAATGATCATGGAAGATAAACTTATGAGTACAATGCAAAGTAAATATAACTATTTTAAGAAAATTTTAGATAGCACATGTTTCTCGTCATTATTTCCAGTGCGTCTAATGGATCGTAGTACTTCACTGACTCGTGAGCGCATGCGTACTCGTGCATCGATCGATATCATTATGGCCGATTATCGTCTAACAGGTATAACATCAATTTGTCGTCCGGAAACGATGATTATCTCTTGTATGTTAAAAAAATTATTTCAATGTATACAAAAACGAAAATTATGTTTGTATGGTTCGGTAATGAATGCGTTGAATGATCCAGATTATCGTGGTATTCATTTGAGAGTTGTCGATCGTATGTCATTATCGATTGATGAGTATATTGAAATATTGGGTGAAATGTATGAATCATCTCTAGAAACAATTGAAAATTTACCATTTTATTTGGAAGCACGAGAAGTTTTGGACTTAAATACAAATATTGTTTATCCACCTAATTTAAATTGGGAACAAGTTGATGATATGGCACGATATTTATTGCGAGAAGATGCTGTTCGTTATATATTACGAGCGTGTTTAGGTAATGACAGCATAAGAGAACAACTAACCGTAAAAAATCACTATATCTACATTTTTATTATCTTTAGATCGTAAACGAGATGAAACTATCATGGATAAACAACAATTACAAGTAAAGTTGCCAAAAACGTTGATGAATTTATATGAACCCATTAGAAAATTGGTAACTTTTATGTCTACTGAACAAGTATTAAATTCTATACGACGACCCTATTTGACACAGTTAAAAACTCGATCAAAAACTGAAGTAATTACAGCCAATGATCTGGTAACAATCTGTCATCATATCTGGTTGACATCAAAAGATTTAGAACGATTAGTTGAAGAAAAAATTATCACACGAGATACTCTTTGTGAATTTTTTATACAATTTCATGAAAAAGAAGATATCGATGAAAGATTGAAAAAAGTATGTAGAAACAATGGCCAGAAACGCAGAGGAAATTGAAATTTTAATGCGGCAGAAAATGTGCTGAATCATATTCTCTATGACATTTGGCGAGGTTTCTCAAAAAAGAATTTTGATTCTCTCTGTTAAACTATATAAATTGATTATTTTGGATTTATTTAGATTCGTAAACAAATCAATGATCATTTAACGTTACACGGTTGTGTGTCGCGTTTTCAATTGAAAATGGTTGCTGAAAGTACCGATGGTACAAGACTGACTCCATTTCTAAATGAATTTGCTAAATCTCCTCGTCAAGTCCCGATTATAGAATGTACCGAAGATTTATTATCATCTGATCTCATATCAATTGCTGAACTCATTATCTACTCAAAATCGGATATTATTGTTCGAAAATCATCATTATTAAAACATTTTGAACAAGTCATGTTTTTTCGAAAACGCGATGCAGACATATTGTCTGAATCAACATTGGTCATAAATGATGTTGATCTATTTGCACATTTAGAAACACGTGTAAGGTTTATGAAACAATCGTATATCGATTGTTTATTATCTGATGAACGAAATGAATTTATCAATAAAAATATTATTGAGTCAACAAAACGTCTTTCTTTATTGGCTATTCATGAATTCGTTCGTCGATTTCAATTGCAACCAAGTAGTGGAAAATTATTTTACTGGATGAATTTAACAGATGAAAATGTTGTTAAAACATTGATTGAAACAAAAGAACATGTGAATCAGTATACACTTGATGGAATATTAAACAGTTTCCTAACACGTCTGACAGATTCATTAGGTATTAAGAGAAAGAGAAAGCGTATGTGTTTTGGTGTATGACAATTATATTTTCTAGAGTCGGGCATCTATTATGTGGCCGCTGAAAGTCTTTTTCCGTTACCGGATGACAATAATGATAATCACGTCAATAAGTCGAGATCAACTCTTACCCAATCAAATCGTGTTATTCATCGTATTCAGTGCGAAGATTTATGCAAATTAGGATGCTATTTAACATTAGATCAAGCTCTAATATTAGTTGATTTTGCTGATCCAGGTACGGTCAAAGCTGATAATTTATGTTCAGTGATGAGAACAAATTATTAATTGATATAACGTGTTACGGTGTGTAGCAACCAACCGATAGGGCAGTTTTTGCTAAAAAAGTTTCAAGGGATTTTGAAAAAGATCGTCTTGTCAAAGACCGAAGGCGTAATGCATTTTTAACTTTAAATAATGAAATCGATGGCCCAAACATTTCTCTACAATTCTACGCAAGTCCCAACTTCTCACCATCTTCCGTTCTTTAGAATGTTACGTAAGGATAAGTTCCTCACTTAAGGCGAAAGACAATATGATAAGGCTGTGGATCGACAGCTCAGTTGGTTAGAGCGTTGGTACGGAATGTCATGATTCTAGTTTGGAGTCCCAGTCTAGTCATATTTTCTTTTATTCAATTCTTCAACATTTTTCCCGATTGTTATATAAAAAGCTATACTGGATCTCCCGAGAGTTCCGGAAAGGAGGCCTTCTAGCCTAGGGAATTTTGAAACACGTCACAAAATAGATTATTGACCAAGCGGAATCCCGCGGCAATGGTTTATTTTTCGGAAAAAACTCAAAAACCTAGTGAAAACTAGGAAGGTTATGAAAAAAGTTATTAAAAAACTCATAACTTACGAGGGAACCTCTTGAGGTTATAAATCGCTTTTGAACTCGGACTACTTGTATCTTGTAGACCTCAGTGAGTAGTGAAATACCCTAAGTTGGTTCATCCCCATGGTGCTTTGTTGCTGAGATA